ACAACAACAACAGCAACAACAACAACAACAACAACAACAACAACAACAACAACAACAACAACAACAGCAACAGCAACAGCAACAACAACAACAACAACAACGACGACGACGTCGTCGGCGTCGAAGACAGCAGCTGCACGGAGAACACGAGGATGGACCAGCAGCTAGAAACGCCACTGCCTTTCGCGCCTCTCGCCACCCTCCTTTCCGCAGTGTGGTGCGCGCGCGTTATCACGCGGTCACACCGACCTTGGAAGCCGAGCAGGGAGAACACCGAGCGGATCGGCTCTCAGCGACGCGACCACAACGACGACGGTGGGCTGCTGCTCCTACCTCCCAATCGAGAAAGAAAAGGGAACTCGCTGGACAACGTAGAAGATCATCTATTTTCAACGATCGAATCTTCTTGCCTGGTTACACCGTCGAACGATTCTCGGTACGTTCTTATCCCCCATCAAATGGATTCACAAACAGTGCGATCTTTCTCACGGGTACTTCTTCTTCTATCGATGTGCTTGCTAACACTGCCCTTAACGACGACGACGACGATGACGAGGAAAAAGTGGAGAATTTATCGTCGTGCCGACGGCCGTCGATTGACGCATTCGTCGAACCCTCATCGACGACTGAGGACGATGCTACGCGATGTAATTCGTGGACTATCAAAAATAGTGAAAACGGAATCGGAACTGATGACACAACTGTCGTCAATCGCGTTGCATCGGCTCATTTATCAAACGCTAACGAGAATAGAAAGTTTGCCAGTTATCGTTCCAGCGATCTTCAACAAGAAAAAGATCGGAGCGATAGCTTCGAAGAAAGAGGAAAAGTCGTCGTCGACGACGTTGACTTCGAGCCTGAAAGAAAAAGAAGAAAAAGAGAAGGAACTCAAGAAAACAACGAGTATCATATTGGATTATCACAACCAACGCATAGTCAGGGAGAACGAAACTGGTCGAACGAATCCAATTCGACTCTCAGAATCGTCCTCGAGGAGGATAATTCGAGAATCACGGCTGACCGACGTAAGTTGCAACAACGTCAGCAACAACAACATCACCAACAGCATCACCACCAACAACATCACCACCACCACCATCACCACCATCACCATCACCATTACCACCACCACCACCACCAACATCTGTCTCGTCGCGGCAAGAATTACGGACTCCTCTTTCTCCTGTACTTCCTGACGTGGCCGGTGTTCTGCTCGAACGAACCAATATCCAACATCCGTTCAAGCCAACATCCTTCTTCGACTGGCTTTGGACAAAAGACGGCTGCCCTTGGTAGCGGTGAAAATCTTATACGGGAACGAAACGATAACGATAGAAGTAGTAGTAACAACAGGCACAACCATCACCACCAACACCACAGTAACACTAACAGTAACAGCAACAACAACAATAACAACAACAACAACAATAACAATAACAATAACGACAACAGTAACAGTAACAATAACAACAACAACAATAATAACAATAACAACAATAATAATAATAATAATAACATTAATAAAATGGGACCGAGAGGCTCACCGTTGTCCTCATCGTCCGATAACGCGATGCAACGATTTGCTCAAAGCGACGAGGATAACCAACGTCGTTATCGTCGAGAGGCAGACTCGAAGGCTCAACAAATGGAAATGGAAGAGTTTTATCAGGATCAGCAGGCTACCCCTGACGCGCATCCTTACAACAAATATACTTGGGAGGTGAACCGGATAAACCCTTGGTTGTCGGCTTGCGATCTGGCTGGTCCAGCGCCGGCCGATCTTCAGGGTAGTTGTGGTCCACCGGAGGTTCCAGAGATGTCTCCAGATGCCTGCGCGTCAGAATTGAAAGAAAACGGGCCTGAAGCTATTTTCGACGAAGTTATCAATAAATTACAAGCCAACTTAAGAGCAAGGAAGAAATTTATAATTGGTGTTGCGCGGACAAACGATCGTCACAGCGAAGCGAAGGAATTAGCGAAAGAAAGGAAAAAGAACAACGAGGACAATGTCGACGAGGATGGCTACGAGGTAGAGCGCGATCGAGCCAAGCCCGATGATGGTAAGCGGGCGGTTCCGGAACAGTGCCTTTTTTATCTCGAGGAGTCGCACATAAGAGACATCTGTCGGGACGATTTCGGCCGGGCCAGTCCGCGAAGTTTTTTAACCCCAAGGGAGAATCGATATTGGTTCATGAGTGGGTTGCGTCTGCGGCATTGCTGCGAATTCGTGGCGGTCAACGCCCTGGCGCCTGGTAAGGGAGGCCCGCTCGAGAACGTGCTAAATGGCGGCCCGAAATGCGTCCAAGCTTTGGACAAACTGTTGAAGGTCGACGCGCTCGCCTCCGAATTACACTGCGTGTTCAAGAAAGCCCTGGGGCGCTACGACTGTGCCCAGCAGTACTCGGTCATTTACAACTGCACCGATTGCGAGGTAACAACTTTTTCTTCTCTACTTTTCATTATTCTTTTATATATTTTCTTAGAATAAGTAAAAATTTAGCTTTTCTGAGAATCCCTATGGGAATGAATATGTTTTCGTCTTTAACTTCTTTCTGTACTTTAACGAGTCTGATACGTGATGAATATTTTGGCCCAAACATGTATATCACGAGCCAGGCTCGCAATAAACAGATAGTCGGATTTGATCAACAAACCTTGAGGCAACCCTACGCTTAGGCCCGAATTTCGTTGAGCTAAATGGCATGGGTAGGGGGGTTAAACTAACTTTTCTACATTTCTATAGATCTACAAGATCTACAAGAATCATGAAATTTCAAGATTCTGGATGGAGTATACATATTTGATTTTCTCTATGTTGCTAAATCTAGAAAATGGCAGGGACTCTTCCAATGAAAAGTTTGGATCCATCTTTCTTTCTCTCTTTTTTATTTCTTTATCTTAAAGTTTGTAAATCTTTCAAGGAGGTTTTGCTCCCATTTGGTTTACCCCTAATTTATAATGATCACGTCTACCCATGCCGAATCTAATTTCCACGCAGATTGTAAGTCATCAGTATGTCCTGGAAAGTGGCACTTCGTCGGCAAATGAATTAACGAACGGCTGTTTCATGTTTAACTGATAAAGACCAGCTTATAAATTGCTCTCCCGGAGTAGCTCATTCAACGAATGTCAGAACTATTTCCAATTACGCTATATCGACACGTCCGCTTTGCAGTTCGCTTTTCATACACGTAACAGCATAGTATTGTCGACATTAGCGATTGACTTTGGACACGAGAGATACGCACTTGCATACGCGAAAGTTCTTTATTAATAGTTCGAATTTTCATTGATTTAGTTATCTTTCTTCTTTTTTTGTCGGTTCTCGTTTGTTTCGTTGTTACGTAATTATTATAGGACCATCTTGTTGAATAATCCACAATATTGACATTTATTTTTTTTCTATACTTTCGACTATTACGTGTACCGATTAAAAATACACTTTTCGTTGTCACTAAAAGATAATTTTGACCTACAATGATTCTCATTAAAAATAAAGTCAATTTTTTGTAGAGAAACATCATTGGTTCTACTATATCGAAACCATCGATTGCATTATATATTTCAAGGAATACAAAAGTCCACGTAGAATATCGTGGATTCTAATATACGAATAGCTGGTAACCTTTTCGATATCTCCCAAATAAAACAGCAATATAGTGTAGAAAATATGACAAAGATCAAATCGAGATTCCTTTATCTTTTTCATCCACATGTCCTCCATTTTTGAAGGATCCTTCGTTCGAGAAAGTCGACTTGGTCCATTCTTAGCAAAGTAGATCGACTTCTTTTTCTACCTTTTTCTATCTCTCTAAAGTGAATCGTCTCGGAGAAGTTTAAATTTGAACTAGAGATTGAAATAAGTAGGTAGAATCCGTGAGTAAGTTCTCGCATTAGGCTCACAATTAGACATGAACGTGAACGGTAGGGAGTTGCTCAATATCGATTTAAGTGTATTATTATCTTCGACTTATTGCCATTTATTTTATTATCATTATTTTTCTCGTATCTTTTTCGATAGGTAGTTATATAGGGAGGTACTATCCCTTTAAGATATATACCTGACTCCTTGCTATATTTGTTCATCTACTCTTCTCTTATTAGCACCACATATATGCTAAATGTCTCACCTTGTTCTACGATCTTGTTAAATATAGTCCATCTATGTTCTTCTTGTTTTTTTTTTTTAATTTTTTTTATTTAATTTATCTTCGCATAAAATGAATTTACATAAATCTCATTTCAAAAAATAAAAATATATAATAGATAAAACGAATGTTTCGAATCATTCTTTGAGGAAAACTAAAATCGATTAACGACGCGTTGCACGTTGGGAAAACATTTTTATTTTTCTCTATCGTGGCTTTACGAGCGTATCAGCTTGTTCGAATCAGAGTTCCTAGGTTATCGAATTTTCGTATTCGACACAAGCGAAAGTTACGAATGAAATCGACACCCGTGTGATTCCAATCACCCTGATATGGCGTACGGCTATCATTGCGAAAATAGAACATGATTTATCATTCGTGTCTAAGGGTCTTTTAAAACAAGGCAAAATATTACTATTAGTTTTAATTTTTAACAAATCATCCTATTAAAACGTAACAAAAAAACATTAAAATTTTTCTTTTACAAATCTCGAAAATTTCTATCATCTCAAAGAAAAAAGTGTCCAAGTAATCATCGTTACCATTCATTACATTAAAACGGATTTATGGATATAATCCACGTGGTAATAATTTCAAATGAATGATAAACTTTGAACGCGCGTTTATTTATTAACGACGAAGACGATGATGAAGACGAGGACGATGAAGATGAGGTTTAAGTGTTGTGCAGGAGCTATTTATTGAGTCTCGTTGAAATTTATGCGAGATTAAGGTGCCGTCGATCGAGTTACAACGACATATCCGTTCGTTGTAATCTCGTACCTTGTGGCGTCTTAACCTTAGCCCACACCCATCCTACTACACCTACCGACCATATCATAGTTCTCTCCTGTTTCCACGAAAGGTTCTACAAGGCGACGGAAAGTCGTCCTAGTGCTGATGCAATGTAGTGAATCCAAAAAGGAGAGAAAATAGATAAAATAGATAGATAAATAAGTAGATAGATAGATATATAGATAGATAGATAGGTATATAGATAGATAGATAGATGGATAGAGAGAGAGAGGAGAGAGGAAAATAGGGTTAGGTATAAGCCAAGCTAGATAGACGTGTAAGCTAGGCTATGGCACCCTTAATTGAGATCATCTTACCACAAATAATTGCATCTATGTTCAGCTTGGCATCGGCCAACCTTTCATCTTTCTATCTATCTAATACATGAACCTATATATATATATATGTACTCACACACAACATACATTTACACATATGATGACCCACATAAAGTGTTACGAACTGTTTCTCATCTAAACCATTAGAGATTGTCACTTAAAAGTCACTTCTCTTCCCTTTTAAATATATCGAATGAATATACTAAAATATTATCCCCACCCATCGTGTTATTTATGAATTAGATATTCTTTTCTTTTTGTTTTATTTCGAGATTACTCTAATTAGATATTTTTCTTTTTCTTTTTCTTTTTCTTCTTCTTCTTCTTCTTCTTCTTCGGTATACTACTATTCGGTAAGATTTTGGAAATAGATTTAATAGTCGTGGTTTTGTTAAAAGCCAGTAGCACACGAAGCAGTCGTTATCTCTAATGTAGATTCAGGCGCTAATGCGAGCGATTAATCGATGGTCAAAGGAGCACAGGGCAAAGTTGGTCGGTTCATTAATCTCTGTTCTTGATCAAGCAACGTATAGACAAACGACTGTTTACATACTCACACTCTCAACGTTTGCTTGCTTCTCTTCGGTTGTCGCACAATGAAAGCAATCGTTGCATTTGATTTGGACTATCGATAACCGTGATTACACCACCCAAATTCCTCTTTGCTTTATTACAAGAATATAAGTCTAATCCAATTATTCGCTAACAATTTTTGAATATGAACTTTCAACGATTATTATTTATTTTACTACAAATTAAAAACTAAATCCCCTCGAAAATACGCAGAATTTCGATAGTTCTTTTAGCGACAAAAAATGTCGTAGAAATGTTACAAATCACAGGGAAAGTTTTTGATTGAAATAGAAAAAAGAAAAATGGAACATCTATCATCGGTAGATAAAATTAGAAAATTTATAGTAAAAATCATTTTATCAAACATACGTAGTACGTTTCGCAGTAATTCGAAAAAGATTGGTTGGAAAGTATGATCACTGTCACGTTCATCGGTGAAAATACGATTTGGAAAAAAAAAATAAAATAGTAGGAGAGGAGAGATAAAAAAAAGTGGAACGTAAAAAGTCGACGACAGGTTGATCATTGTAAGGACGAGGTGAAGGGGAACTAGCCGAGGGGATGAAAGTTTCATTCGTATGACTCAAACAGCTGCCGGTTGAACATCCGTGTGGACTAGCACAGTTATTGGATATGTTTTAGATCTCTTTCTCTTTCTCTCTTTCTCTCTCTCTCTTTCTCTCTCTCTCTCTCGTGTAATTTGTGACGGTGACAATTTAGCGCGTGTCCGCGGTCTTGCGGATGGTAAAACGTCATTCAATTCGGTGGAACGAACTAACGTGCGATTGCAATTAAAATACAATTTATATTTCATAATGTTCATTTAAAAGTCGGTCAACCGATCGATTTTGATCGAATTTTAAATTCTTCGTATATCTATAATATTATGGTTTTTTCGTTTCAAAATTTTCAGTTTTTTTTTTCTTTTTCTCTTTCCGTAATTTTAAAGAAAATAAAAAAAAAAGAGAAATCTCATAAATCTCGTGGAGAAAAGTTGAAAAAGAAAGTAGAAAAAAAAAAATAAAGAAGTAAAGTTTTACGCTTAAGTTCTTCTCTATGTATATCTTTAGCATAACCAATGTAAAAACGCCTTCCAATTACGTACCTTCGTAGCGGCAAAAGGGTTCCAGTTTGCAGAAGAAACACTTCTCCTACGTTAGAGTTACGTTACCGTGGATGAGCTTGGTGCAATGACACTAGAGTAGTTAATACCCCTGCAATCTGTAGTTTTTTTTCTCTCTACCATGAGCACATATGTAATATATATATATATACTCGTGTATATACCTAGACTTACACTTATACATGGAAGTTAAAATAGTAAATAATCGATTTATCGCGTCACAAATTTTGTCGATCGATTTTTCGATAAGTCATTCGTTTTTACGACTTTCATATTTTTTCCTTAAAGTAAAGGACAAGAATTAGGTGAATTGGATAGATATATTTGTTCATAATCGATTTTTCTTGTTATGTAAGGTATCGATAACGTGTATGTAGTAGATACACGTATATATATATATATATATATTTATTATTGTATATAATCGATCTGTTGAATCAAATGATCGATTGTA